TTGTGATCGATTACTCTATTTCCGTGCAGTAGCCGAATCCTATTATTTCTGATTACACACAATGTATATGTTGTGATTTTCAACAGAGTATTAGAGAATTAAGAGTAACGATAATATCGAATTGTGGTCCTCATGGAATAATGTCATGTCCACAGTCCACCAATGGCGGGGGAGCGATAAATTTGGTCGAGTTTGAATATTTTAGTGGAAACATTTATTAAGGGAATGGGTGATCGATGGTTGTTGTACAACTTATGTTTGAGTGATTGTTGTTGGTTTTTTAAATTTTTTTTTAAACAGCGGGATAGGTTGTAATAAAAGAGATTTCTCTGATATATATTTGTATATTATAATATACATTGTTTTTTTTTGAGTATTCCGAAATGTGTGATTTAATTCATATAATATTATGTATTTTATATAAAACAAACTTACATACCACGTAAGATAAAAATAAACAGTACACAACTACAAATGTTTAATAATAATAACTAACAAATTTATTACATAAATTATTAAAGTTAAAATTACTCAACTTTCAAGGCACTGTAGTAGCATGTATCACTAATTTACAAGGAAAAAATGTTATGTTTTAACTTTTAACACCTAAGAAATCTGTTTTGGACGGTAACCAACGAAAAGAAAGCTTTGCCTCCTTAAAATAATTCGTATCGAACATTTTATCATTTTAATGATTTGAGTGTCATAGTAAAATTTTTTTTTTTTTTTTTTTTGATTCATGTGTGTTTTATTTAATCTGTTACAGTAAGAACAATAAGAACAATTGATGTTTAGTAAAAGAATAAAATAAAAATAAAATAAAAGACAGACCGGACGGAGTGCAGAGGCCTCCCAGCGGAGGTACTACGACATGAGTATTATTTTAATTAGGCTAGCAGGTCACGACACCACTGTCTTTTAAGTCTTTTAATTGGGTTACCTGGGATGGAGGATGGAGTAAGTAAAATAAAAAAAAAAATTTTTAATTTTACGGAACATAACTACAAATTTTTAATATATTAACATAAATTATTCAAATTCAAATTACTCAACTTTTGTTTCAAGACACTGTGTTCGGATTAGATAAGTACTTTTTTATCTAGACAAAGATAAAGATAATTCAACTCAAATGTATCTAGATAGATATAAAAGAAAACTTAACTCATATTCATCTAGATAAAGATAAAGATAAATAATTTTTTATCTAGATAAATGGTTTTAAATTTAGGTATATTTTAGTTGGGAACTAGGAACATAATAATAATAATTATATAAATAAAAATAATCACATTATTTATAAACCATAAACTTTGTTTGAGAATCTGTATAAATATTTAAAATGCGTTTGTACAATTTCGCGATTTTCATCAATAAAAAATGTATCTAGATGAATTTATTTAGATTAGTAAAAAAATTATCTAAGATGAACAAATAATTATCTAGATATTCATCTAGATAAGCCCGAACACTGAGTAGCATGTATTACTTTGTTTCTTAAAAATAATTCGTATCGTACATTTTATCATCTTAATGATATGAATGTCATAATTAGTAAAATAAAAAAAGATTAATGCAAACAGAGACCTTACTGTAGTAATGCTGTAGTATAGACATACAGAGTACAGAATGGTATTATATTTTAAATTCGACACAGTTATTTTCGTATAGTATTTGTTGAAGTTAAATAAGAATCAAATATTTGTTAAAGGTGGGTTAAGCCCAAAAAGTAAAACTTTAGGTACCAGCACTTAGCAGCATTATTCATACATTAACCAATTACCTACCTATTTGAACTCTATATTAAATTAACTAATTGATTAAATTTATATTCAATGTTATTACTTATCAATTTTTATTCATAAATGATTCATAATTGGTCTTGATATATTATCATTTTATAGCTGGAAATCATTGTAAATAATATCGTATAATCGTAACATTATGTTGTTATATCATTATGATAATGTAGTTTGAAACTCCAACAAGGCGTTTTGTATAGGCAGTTTAGACGCAGTTGTTGATGACGGGTTGTCAGTTGTCAATATTGTCGACGGTATGTGTATACGTATAATCACTAAATGAGTCAGTGACTTTTGAATTTTTTCTCAAGTAGTCTAGTCTCATGAAATTCTAACCTAGCCCTTGCCCGAAGTAAGTTTAGGTATTTATGGGTTCTATATAAATATATAATTTTTATGTGTTGGTATGAATTTGATATTTTGTTCCTTTACAGTTTACGTCATTCGTTCACGTTTTAACGTCTTTTTTATGTTCATAAGAGCATTTTATGACAATTTTTAGGGCATTTTTTTTCTTTAAATTTTAGATTTTGTAGATTTTCACGTTTTTATTTTTATCGGCTTTAGTATGCTGGCCATTTATATTATTCGTTTTATTATCTTATATACGCCTTATATTGCAGTATTTCTAGACAATAGCTTTTACATTAACTTGTATAATTCCGGAGTAATAAAAATGTTTTTGGCTAAACGAGATTTTTGTGATCATAAAATTTTTAATTTTTATTACCATGCCCCGAAAATTGAATACAATAAGGTACAGCAAGATGATACGATTTATTTTTAGCCTTTAGCCTAATATAGCATAACACTATATTAATCCAAGCTATTGCAGAATCCAATAGCAGGGTTCTGTAACAACGGCTGAACAGAATTTTTACTATTGGATTATACCTTATATAGCAATATACTTTATAATACGATTCCTGGCGACGTTTGTATAATATTATTAAACATTAATATATTATAAATATTTTTGCTCACTAATATTATCAAACTATACGCGCACGTTTTTCGTACAACGTCTTTGGATGATTTCATAGACATTTCTATGCTACTGTATACATAGATATTAAAGAATGGATAGGCCATTTATGCTTAACATACGGGAATGAACATGAAAATATTTTGAGGTTATAGAGGTCTTAACACAAATGTATATATATATAATTATTGTACATAATTTATGATAAGACCCTCTGCTAAAATGAGAAGCAATGATAAAAAACAGTCTTTCTCTCTTCCCCATTCCGGCGACACTTCCCTCTATTTTATTAATATAATATAGCCTATCCATTCTTTAATATCTATGACTGTATAATATTATTTACAGCGTAATAAGGGATTTATAATCTGAGAAAAAAATTATTTATTTTTTAAATTGTATTCATCCAATAATTAATATCGCATTATTTGCTCACATTATTTTATTTTATGCTAATAATCAGAAAAATTTGTACCCGATGCCCAGCTCTCCATTCCCCACCTAGTTTGACAAATTTTAACGTAATAAATTATTATTATTTTTTTTTTTTAATAAAAGTACATTCAAGAATACATGCCACTGTAATTTATATATTATATATTATATAATAATATATTATATATGGTAATTCACTGAGCATGCTAATTCCCTCTTTATTAAAATGTATATTTTTCATTTAATGAAATTCGGATTTTTTTAAATTTTGTTGTATACGAACAAATACTAAGATTTTTTATAATATTAAAAGAGTTCCTTGTAGATTAATAAATAAATATCCTGTGACCTTTGATGATATAAACCTATATCTTAATCGTATAAAAAGATTAATAAACAAAGAGTATAACTAAACTAAATTAGATTACCGACTTACATCTATTTTATATTGTAGGACCTACAATGCAGGTTTATATACTATAATATTATGTATCTAACCATTATTATAAGGATATTTGTAATTAGTTCATACATTTTAGCGACTAAAACAGTAACAAAACTCTGGCTTGTGTTAGGCGGCCACAATGTGTTTACGACGATTATAAAAACTAAAATTATGTTTTCAAATACTTAATGGCAAATTATAAATTAATAATAAACATTCAAACAAATTTAATAATAACTAACATTGGTTCCCAATCAACAAATGCTGATCATTTTTTTGCAAAGTGAAAAACTTAGTTTTAAATTGATCTCGTTTTGTTTAAATTGGATACCACAAATCAATATTACTAACTTGTGGACTGTGGTTTGTCTCTTGTACTATATATTATGATTAATACGCTATATAAATGTAAACTTTTTGCTCCTGAACGGAGCCAGGGATCTAGTGGTTTTACAATTGTGTTTATTTTTCATTTTATTTTACGATTTTAGATTCTGAGTGAAACTATAAATGTATTGATTTTACAATGATGTGTTTTTTTTTTTTTTTTTTAATTTTGTGTCTTTCATCAATGTTTGAGGCAGTAAAACTGCTTCGATTTTCTTCAACAGTATCTTGTTCAATGAGAAAGTGAATCTAGTTGATGCATTCGGAAGGTCAAATTTTAAAATTCCCAATAGTTTTACAAGCGCCGGTAAAAACAACATAAAAATTAAGGAAAAACGGGAATTTTTACGCAAAAGATAAGTTATATAAAAAAAATAAATATATATGTATCCCTATCATACTACTTGTTGTTTTTTCCCAATATTGTAAAAAAAAAAAAAAATAGGTCCACATGTAAGTTAATAACAAGTATGATAACAACTTCCTTCAAGTAGCGTTTTGCAACAAAATTTGTTCCGCAATCACTGTAAAGGTCAGTACATCTTCCACAACGACTAACAAATCGGTCAATGGCCGCGAGGAAGAGAGTCGTTGACAAATCACTGACTAGTTCCAGATAGACGGCTAGAGTTGCCATACATACAAAAATACAGTCTGAATCATATCTGAATTAGTCTTAGAAGAGCGGCTTTTACAAAGAAAGGTCCGGCGAAATCAACACCCACGTGAGAGAATGGTTTTGTATCGACTAGTCTTGGCTTCGGTAAATCTCCCATACTATTCTGCAAGGGTTTAGGACTGGCATTGAAACAAGATACGCATTGGAGGAGGCGTTTGCAGATGACACTTCAGGCGGAAATTATCGAATATTCTTGTTGAAGAATATTTTGAGTTGTTTGAGGTAATGGGTGACGATGATGACGGTGAAAAAAATCGATTAATGGTATCGTCAACCGGGAGTTCTTAGGATAGGATGTCGATTTTCGAACGGTAAATCTGACTCGCGAAGCCTCCCGCCCACCTTGAAGAGATCACCTACAATATCTATAAATGCTTTCGATACTCGGAGTTTTGTTGAACAGTTCCGACCTGAGGTGAGAAGTTTCCGATCCTCTGCGAAGTGTACACGTAGTACCCATCGTAATGAAGAAAGTAATGCTTCATTTTTCTCTTTTACTCCCGATGGTTTCCTTTCATCAAAGACCATTGGTTGGTGGGCTAAACGTCTCCGAAGTCTCAGCCAATATTCAGTGAAGCGGAGGACTTTAGGTAGTTCAGCAGGGAGCTCCGGAGCCGCCTTGGCCACCCGCCGGGCACGGTGGACATGACAGACATTCTGTGCTACCCGATCTTCGAGGACCTCCTCGCGAACCACCAGGAGAAGGCGGTTATCCTACGCAACGAGGAAGAAACGTTCAGGCTCTTCTACAAAATGGTAGAAGACATCCTGACGTTGAAGGAAATTGAGGAGAGGGCTCGTCAGGCCGCAGACGCTGCAAATGACGGATGATCCCCAGAACGGGAACACGAGAGCGGCGGGCTCCGGCCTGCTCAAGAAGAGGAGGCCCATAGTAGGAATCCCAGGTTGTCGGTCTTGAAGAGAATATCATGCACGAGATGTCTAGGACGGCGGGCTCAGGCCAGCCCGAGAAGACACCTCAAGGCAAAAATTTAAAAACTAATGGACATGAGAGGGGATAAAGCGGGGTCTGTCCCGGTTATTCTAATTGCGGTTTCGGCCACTGTATATATCACTGTGAGGCATCATGGGGTCTTGGTACACACATACACACCAGTACTCACTGAGGAAAGTGTACCAATCCCCATGCGAGCCCAATCTCAAATATGAAAATATTTTCTTAAATAAACGATGCAATGTGCAAACAGTACGGCCCTCATGTAGTGGTTATACATGAAAAAAAAAAAAAAGGTAGTTCAGCTGATGAATTTAAAAGCTTACACTCTTCTTCAGCTTGGACGGCCAGTAATACAAGGGATTTTCTTCAACTTGGTGTTTGCCCGGGTCGAGAGTGTTGAAGATAGTTACTTGCTGCCATATTTCCGAAGGTTGAGTAAGAAATAGAGGGCCGGTCCATCAGATAGGGTGATCAATTCTTTCGGAGTCAAGCCACAAGTGGCACAGTCTGCTGGATTTTGTGCAGTGGGTATATGTCTCCATATGTCAGACGAGGTCATATGCTGAATTTGAGCAACGCGATTTGCCACAAATGTTTTCAATTTTTCTGTTGGCATTTGGATCCATGTAAGCACTACTGTGGAGTCACACCAAGCAGTGACGTTTGTAATCGGCAATGAAATTAGATAGGTTCGTAAATATTCAAGAGTCCGGGCGAGGAGTAAAGCGTCACAAAGTTCGAGTCGCGGAATCGACATTTTCTTTTCTGGTGCTACTTTAGACTTTTCCATGAGAAGGTGACATTGAGTGGTATTAGTTTATAGTGCCAGAAGATAAACTGCTGCGGAGTATGCTATTTCTGAACTGTCACAGAACCCGTGAAGTTCGTAAGTAGCCTTTTCTGTTGTCATTTGGCTTTGTATTTTGATTAATCCGATGAAGGGCAGCTTTTCATGATATTGGGACCATACTTTGGTGGCATCATCCGAAATCTGATCATCTCACCCAACTCCAACGGACCACATATATTTCATGAGGCATTTTAGGTTAGTGATGACTGGTGTTAGCAGTCCGGTTGGATCATAAATGCGTGCAATTTCTGATAGGATGGCACGCTTATTAAGCGTATAGGATTAGGTTGATATTGATATGCTAAGATGTCGGGATTAGGTTCCCATTTTAACCCAAGAACTTTGGTATAGTCTGATGTAGGCTCATCAAAGGTAACCGGGTCTGTTTGGCGACAATCCGGTGGAACGGCCTCTAACAACGCAACATAATTGCTAGACCATTTCCTTAATTCAAAACACACAAGGTTGAATACATTATCAGATCTTGCTGCAGTTGAAGAGCACTTGATTCACAGTCAGCTCCAGTAGCGAAATCGTCCACATATAAATCATTGCGATAATTCGCTAAACGGCTGGGTATTTCGTGGTTTCATCAGTTGCCAGTTGGTGTAATGTCCTTAAAAAAAAAACTTTGATGAACGTTGGCCAAAAGTGACAGTTGACTTCTCAAAAGTTTACACTGGATCAGTGGTTTAAACCAAAAAAGGAGTCGCTGGTACGATCGGTGGTCTGAGGTAACGACGATCTGCCTAAACATTTGTTTAATGTCGGTCGTAAAAACCACTTTGTGTAATCGAAACCTTATGATTATTCCAGGCAGATCCTGTTGTAATTTAGGTCCAGGATAGAGCTGGTCGTTCAAAGATTTTCCGTTGGTCGAGATTGCAGATGCATCATACACAACCCGTACTCTTGTGGTAGTACTTCCTGGCTTAATCACAGCATGATGTGAAATATAGTATGTTGACGAAGTGGCATCTGTTTCACTGGTTTTAAATCGATTCATGTGCCCAGAGTCGAGATAATCGTACATAGCTACTTCTCAAGTATAGTCACTTCTCAATTGCGCTGATTTAGCCAAACGAGATTCTAATCGCATGAGTCGCTTTAAAATACTACTATTGGGTTTTAACAAGAACACAATAATTACCAAATAATTTAATACTACATAATAATTGTTTGTCCCTGGTCAGGCGGTTAGGTGGTACGGTGTGGTGGGTGGTCGCTGCAAAAACTGAAGGTGGTAAATACAATCAACGGTAGGTGGCGTAATTGGCGTAGTTCGCGTAGTTCGCGTTGGTAACGGTACACAACGATAGTATAAACAAAACGGTGTTGGTGGTAAACAAAAACTAACAAAACGACAACACAGGTCCGCCTGTTATTGCTCTCAAACTACAGCGAACAAAAACGGATGTAAATGCACCTGCAGTTGGTGATGCAAATTATGAGGAAGTACATTATTTGGTATAAAGACAATCTCTCATTAGGTTGTATGACTCTATAGCCTGTACCACCCCCACTCAACCGGGCCGAAGAATTTCACCCCGTTCGTTTATAAAATAAATTGACATTAAACTAAGGCGTGTGGCGTGGATAATATACTATAATATTATTACAGTTTATTATGATTATACAGAAATTCCGTCAAATATGTTATTATTATGACGTTCTGAACCCGATAACTGATGGAAAACACGGTCTGCTAGAATGAAATAATTGTTTACTATACTCAAACATATGAAGTTCTATGGACTAAACTCCCGTAATATTGTGCCTAAAAGTTATTAATAGTTGACGGATTTATGTGTAAATACATATTTTTATTAGATAAACACTGTTTTCTGTTACATATCTATTTAGTTGTAAGTACAATATTATTCTGACACTTGGGAAATCTTTTACCATACCTACATTTTAGAACATGATAATAATTATTATGATATAATATTATGTTCGTGCAGAGTGTCTAAGAATACAAATTATTTGATTTATTTAATGTTGGTGTGGCAAATTGTATCATATCATTTTAATATTAAATCAAAATAACTCGTGTTAAAATAATTTGGTTTTACGTAATGGTATTTTACATGATCAATATTATTTAGGTACTTATATTATACTTTATTATTATAATAACATAGTACCGACACATAAATAATATTTTTGATTCTTGTTTTGATATACAGTCTATACTGTACACTGTATAGATCTGTATGATATTATGGTAGGTACTGTTTTCACGATAATTTAGAACAGTGACTTGGATCGTAATTTATATTCCATCATAAAGTCATAAGCATAATTGTTTTAATAACGAATGATTTACTACTAACTTAAGTTGTACATGAATAACATATATATATATATATATATATATATATATACATATATAGGTACAGTTGCAATACATTAATATCTGATCCCTCTGCAGTAAGATATAATAAAAATACTCCAGAATAGTGTTTGACAAAAGGAAAATAAAATTGTAAACAAAATGCTTAAAAACAATTAACTCATATTTAAGCTCACACATTTTGACGTCGAGAACGAGAAGATAAAGTTCATTAAAGGGTCGCTTGTTGAAATAGCGAGAGCATCAAAATGGTTTATTAAATCCGACCAGGTAAAGTTCAATTAGTCGTTAAATATTCATGGAAGTTGACAGACAACGGAACATTCATTAGACCGAAGACCCAGTGGGCGAGGAGTGTGGCGGGGCAATATAGGCCGAAGGATGAAGAGCAGGAGGTAGAGAATGAGATAGGATGATAGGAACGAGGGAGAAATTTGGGGAGAGAAGGACAGAGTGTGGTGGGGTGTGCGAGAGAGTGATAGAGTACCCAGGGACAGGGTGAGTGAGAGAGACGGGTGACTGACTTGAGAACTTTGGTCCTTTGCCCTACTGTATTTCGTACAAAATTACTCAAGTTATAAACGAGTCCTTATTATCATATCAAAAGGTTTCTGTGTGCGCGTTGTCAATCGACTTGACGCCAATGTCGTCGAACGCGAACGGTTGTTTACATTCGGTCAAAGATTGGTGGATTATCATCCGTTAGTTTACTTTTTTTGTTTTTGTTTTTTTTTTTTTTTTTGTCAACGAAATCCTAATGAAAATGGTTGATTTACATATTGCAGTTGGTACCTATTCATATTCATATAAACACAGTTGTTTCGGATTCTTGGTCTACGCGCGTTTACAACACTGCAAAGAATTATAATAATAATCAAACGTTGGCCGAAATCAGTCGTGGGAGAACTTGATAAGATGAAAGGACCATAATATAGCTTATCAGATCTATTAAGCCAGCCTAATAAAATAGAATAATAATTTTAATATTTTTCTTTGAATATTGATAATAGAAAAAGTAATTAAAATATTTTAAAAAGGGGGACTTCTGTCATATCATACAAAAAGTTTATTGCATGATAAAGCTGTGATAACGTAGGTAGTGAGGTTTTAATTTTGAAAATGGTTTTGATTAATAAACACGTTTACCAAGTAGGTAGATAATACGAGATTTAAACATATTAATAGGTACTAAAATACTAAAAGAACAAAAAAATTTTAACATGGATATGCTAATTATATTATTGTAATATAAATGTAGGTACAATAACCTTTAACTCGTGCATGCTTAAGAATTTTCATTATATAATAATATCTAACATGAAATATCCCAGACCTGATAACAATAATTGTGGATAACATACCTAACAATTTCCAAAAAAAAAAAAGTAAAACTGTGGAATAAAACTATATTTTGTCAAGAATGAAAATAATGAAATATTGAAAATAAATTTGTTTTTTTTCTATATATTTTTAATGATTTGAACCACATTTAATCCCATCACTTTTGGTTCCGTGAATTAATTATAATATTTTTATTACTTTTTAACCATGTATAGGTAATAATTAATTTTAAAATAGAATTATGTAATTTAGACATTTTACATTTCGAGTGGAACGAAGGAATGAATTGGTTCTGATGATTTTTTTTATAGCGTTTAAAGTTTACTAAGTTGATGAAATTTGTCAAAATAATGAAAATAATTAAATTATTTCTTGTTAAAAATGTATATAATTTTTAATTTAAATAGGTACCTACCTAATAATTGAAAATGTAATAGAAGATCTCTTATTAGTTTTTTTTTTAGTTTTTTTTAAGTGAAATTAACAAAAAAAGTTTACCGTAAAACCACTGACACCGTAATAACTAAAGACTTAACTACCTGGTATGCAGATACCTGGTTTTATTTTATGTACCATTAGTTATTTTAGGGACTTATATTATAAATTTTGTGTTTCTTTTTTTTATTAGAATTTAAAATAATAATATTTAACTACCTGTGTATGCATTATTATTTCTAATTCACCCCATTAAGCTGAGTTTGTGGCTAGGTAAATTAGTTTAAAGTATACATAGAATTACTTACTTGAGATTAAATACAATAGGTACTACATACTTAATATTAATATAATACATATAAAACCTAATCTCCTATTTCGATATACGATTACAGTTCAAGTAACAAATAGTTTATGATAGATTTTTTATTCGTTATATAATTATTCCTGTTGACATTGTTAAAAATACATTTTTTTAGATATAATTGAATTTCATAAAAATTAATTAGACCTAGCTGGTCTAAGAAATCCAAGAATTCATTCCCTGTGCACTTAGTTGTGTAAATTATATGCATGTTATACGCGCCCTGTTTTCCCGTTTATTTTACCAGTTTGAAACATAATGGAGAACTGATTGTATATACTATATAGATAACAAACCGGCAGAACTCTGAGTTCTTTATAATTAGTTAAAGACAAACCAAATAGATCCTTTTTATTTAGACATGTTCTTGTAGTGTTCTTGTTGTGGATCTGCTGAGTCCTACAAGTGTCTTTATTGCATTGTCAGTACAACCGGGGTGGCAATATGGAATATTAGCACCTATGGGGTATAGGTACTAATATTCCATATTGGAAAATTGACTTGTATAGTACAATAGTGCATTGTATATAAATATATAATAGGTACATAAACATAAGTGATAAGTGTTTGTTTGGTTTGTTCAATTTGAATATTATAGATCTGAAAAGCATAACCAAATGTTCAATGAGAAATTTTCCATCGATAATTCCAATCAATATTTAGTCTTAGATATTATTTAACTCTCGTAATCCTATGTATTTTTTGGCAGTACTACATAATTGTGTAGTATATAGTTTATAGTATAATAGTATAATAATATATGTATAGTGTATAATACTATATAAGTAATATAATATACTATTGTCTATTAATATAAAATAATAAATGCAAATAAATTGTTTTCTAATATTTTTCTTATATTTTAGATTCTGAGTGAAACGATGAATGTATTGATTTTACAATGATGTGTGTTTTTTTATTTTTTTTTTTATTTTTTTTTTTATTTTTTTTATTTTTTTTTTTATTTTTTTTTTTATTTTTTTTTTATTTTTTTTTTTATTTTTGTGTCTGTCATCACGTTTTAGGACAGTAAAAGTGCTTCGATTTTCTTCATCAGTAGCTTTTCTGATAGGAAAGTGAATCTAGTTGGTACTTTGGGGGGTCAAAAGTATAAATTTCCCAGTAGTTTTCACAAGCGCCGGGAAAAACAACATAAAAATTAAGGAAAAACGGGAATTTTTACGCAAAATTGGTTTTCCAAAAAATCGATTTTGGTTTTTGGTGTAACTCTGAAACAAATGAACGTATATACATGAAATTTTCACTGGTTGTTTATATTTGCATTTTCTATACACGATAACATTTTCAAAATATTTTGATTTATTTTGAACTGTTTAGGGACATTTTCATTTTCCATTTTTTTTTAGTTTTTTTCTAAAAATATCAATAAAATTTTATTTGTTGGTTGCGAAAGCTTGAAAATTTAATAGAAGGCTCCTAATATATTGTTTCAAAGGCAGATGAAAAATATTAAAAATCCTTAGTCACAATTTTTTTTTATAAGCATTTAAAGTTCAAAAATTGACAAAATATGGAA